CTCCGGGCAGGTCAGGCGCCCATCCAGGCCGATGGTGCACCCGGTCTGCCCGGGCGCCGCTTCGCACTGCTCGCAGCCACTGGAGCAGGCAAGGCACACCCCCTCGAAGGGAGCATGCGCGGGCGGGCAGGCCGACACGCAGGTGCCGCTCTCGCGCACGAGGACACCCGACGCGCAGCTGGTGCACCGGTCCGCCCGCTCGACGCACGTCGGACAGGAGGCAGCACACGCGGCACAGGCGCCGAGCTCCGGGGGGCTGTACGTGCCGGCCGGGCACGAGGCAACGCACTGGTCGTCCGACAGGAAGAAGCCCTCCTCGCAGCCGGTGCAGGCCGGCATGCAGGAGGCGCCGGACGATGTGCATTCGGCGCAGTGCGCCGGGCAGGCGAGGCACCGGCCGCTGGCGGCGCACGCATGAGCCCCGGCTGGGCAGCTGTCGACGCAGAGGCCGGCAGGCGAGAGGAAGCGCCCGGCGCCGCACGAGGCGCAGGTGTCGGGGTTGTCGCACGTGGCGCAGGTGGGCTCGCAGCGGACACAAAGCCCGCCCTCGGGGAAGAAGCCATCCGGACATGCGGACGTGCAGACGCCCACGTGGAGAACCAGCCCCCCGGGGCAGGCGGTACAGTGGACAGGCTCGGGCCCATTGCAGCCGGCGCAGGACCCATTGCAGGGGAGGCAAGCCTTGCCATCTTGGAAGGTCCCCGGGGGGCATGTGGCCAGGCACCGGCCGTCAAAGAGCAGCGGGAACCGCCGGCCGCATGTGACGCAATCCTCCGGGCCGGGCCCGAAGCATGCGTCGCACGTCTCGTCGCACACCATGCACTGCCCGCCCAGGGGCGTGGTCTGGACCGGGCAGGAGGCCACGCACAGCGGGGCGTCCAGCAGCCAGCCCCGGTCGCACAGGGCGCAGGCGTCCGGCCGGCCGGGGCAGCTGGCGCAGTGCTCCCCGCAGGGGGTGCACCCGGCGCCCGAGGCACTGTAGCCCACCGGGCAGGCCGGCACGCAGCGCATGGGCGACGCCCCGGCCGGCAGGGCCAGCAGCTCGCTCGGGCAGGCCGGCAGGCACTCGGTGCTCCGGGTCCCGGCGCACTGGTCGCACGAGACATGGCAGGGCAGGCACCGCCCGGCCAGGGCCACATGCTTCGCGGCGCAGTGCTGCACACAGTCGCCATCCTGCAGCACACCGCTGGCACAGCGCCAGCAGTCCCTGTCCGACGGGCCGTTGCACGTGGCGCACGCCGCGTCACAAGGCATGCAGCTGCCGGAAGGGACATCATGATACTCGCCGGTCGGGCAGGTCGACCGACAGGAGCCCACCCCATCGGCGACCTCGGCCAATGCCAGCCCGGCGGCGCAGCTGGCGCACTGGTCGGCCTGGCCCCCGACGCAGGTGGCGCAGCTGACATCGCACGGCTGGCAGGACTCATCCGTGCCGTAGGTGCCAGCCGGGCAGACGGCCACGCAGTCGCCCTGCCGGGTCAGCAGCAGCCCGCCCCCGCAGGCGTGGCAGCTGCCAGAGGTGCAGGACGCGCACCCCGGGTGGCAGGGAACACAGGACCCCGTGCCGCCGGGGCGCGGCGGCCCCGAGGCCCACCGGTGCCCCTCGGCGCACGCCACACACTGGCTCGGGCCGACGGCACAGAGCCCGCACGAGTCGTCGCACTTGACGCACCGGCTGGCACCGGGGAGCTCCCCTGGCGGGCAGGTCCGGCCGCAAAGGGAATCCACCTGCTCGGCGGTCTGCAAGAAGACGAGGCCCGGCTGGCAGGTGAGGCAGCTGTCGAGCCCGTGGCAGCTGGCGCACGACGCATCGCACCGAATGCACTGCCCATCAGATCGCCGGAACCAGCCGGGCTTGCAGACGATGCAAAAGTCGGACGAGCTGCAGGAGGCACAGGCCGCCGAGCAGGCAGCACACTTTAGCTCGAGGTGATCCGGCCAGAAGCCGTCCGGACAGGCGAGAAGACACTGCCCCTGGTGGAAGTAGTTCCCCGGCATGCAGGCAGTGCAAGCGGTCGGGTGCTCGGGAAGGGTGCACCTGAGGCAGGGGTGCGCGCATGGCAGGCACACGGCCGGGGCCGGCTCATCCGGCGGCAAAACGAACCCAGGCCGACAGTCAATGCACCGGACTGGCGCGTGGGCCGATATGTCGCACTGGGAACAGGACGAATGGCACTGGCAAGGGTCCTGCGGAAGGGGGCCGGGACTGCTGCCTGGCGGACAGGTGGCGATGCACTCCTGCGGGGCCCCGGGCAGCCAGTGCATGCAGACGGTGCAGTCCGCCGCCCCGGGCCCATTGCACTGGCGACAGGACGGGTGGCATGGCCGACAATCCAGGCCATAGTGGCCAGAGCTGCACGAAAACTCCAAGCCGGTGACCACACCGCCGATGGACCGACCATGGGTCCATAGCGTGAGGGCGGTGCCCTCACGGGCCGGCTCCGGAGGCTCAAGCACCCGGGCGATGAAGGGCATCCAGAAGTCCTCGTCGGGCTGAAGCTCCAGCCCCGGGGAGAGCCGGGCAAAGCGCGCCGGGAGCAAGAAGCACGGCTCGCTGGCCGACCGACACCGGAGCAGCGACAGCCCGAAGAACTTCCGGGTCAGGAGCAACAGGGCGCTCGGGTATTCCGGCATGCTCCAGCCATCCAGGCACAGGGCCTGGAAGTGGATCTCGCGCTGGAAGCCGAGGCCGCCCCCCACCACCGAGGGATAGTCCCCGAGGACCTGCAGCGAGGTGGCCAGGCGAATGGTCCGGCCGGATGGCAGCATGTCCCCCGGCACGCGGACAACCTCCAGCCGCTGGCCACTGGTCCGGGCGAAGAAGAGCTCCGACCCGAAGCCCAGCGAGCCGCGCGGCAGGTACACCGGCGCATACAGGGCCTCGGAGTCGAGGAAGTCGCGGGTGATGAAGCCCTGGCTGAGGCCACGCCAGCGCGAGTCCCTGGCCGGCAGGGCCAGCGGCCCGGCCACCGTGTTCGACCCCGGGGTCCCGACAACCAGCCAGGGGTCCGGATCGCGGGACGCGGGCAGGGACCGGTTGGCCCGCACGCTGGGGAGGCCCACCAGGCCGACGCCCTTCATGGAGAAGCTCTTGAAACGCAGGCTGGTCAGATCGGCCTGCAGGTGAATGACAACACCCAATGCCGAGGAGTATGCGACGATCGCCTGCGGGCCGAGGCGCTGGACCCCGACGCATGCCACCACCCCGAGAGACTGGGGGCTGGCCAGGCTGGAGGCCATGCACAGCCCGGACCCAGGGCAGGACAGCCAGGCCTCGAACAGCTCGCCGGCCTCGCCCCCACACAAGACCAGCCCCAGGACCAGGGTCCCATCGGCCTGGAGGAAGGGGCCCACTTCGGCCAGGGCAATGACCGGGCCGCGGATGCCCCGGGACAGGATGTCCACCGGCCGGGGGGGCGCCTTGTCCGGCTTGCCGATGTCGGCGTTGGCCATGATCCACGATTCCTGGGACCCGGAAAAGAGGAGGATATTCCGCGGACAGGGCAACGCAGGGGAGGTGATGATGGGAAGGGTGCTGGCCCCGCCCGAGGAGAGGCACGTCTCACCGGCCCCGGTGATGATCCTCCCCGCTGGGAGATCGCCAGGCGAGTCCGGGAGCGGGCTCCGCATGCTGAGGTCGGCCCGGGCGATGTCCACCCGTTGGCAGACGCCGGCGAGGGGGGCGTAGTTTTCCGAGCAACTGGCCACGCAAATGGTGGCCCCGCCCGGGCCGCTGGGCTCCAAGAGCAGAGGATGGAAGCAGGCCAGGCAATGGTCCTGGTTGCATGTCCGGCAGCTGTACTGCCAGCAGGGGCGACACCCATGGCTCGGGCTTGAGAAGGCCGGCTCGTCTGTTGCCCAAACAGTCGAAGGGCATGGGAGCGAAAGAGACACGAGAGGCAAGGGTGTGAGCGAGGCGTTTGAGCGAGGCGTTTGAGCGAGGCTTTTGTGCGTGTGTGTGTGTGTGTGTGTGTGTGAATGCATCTGTGTGCGTGAATGCATTTGTGTGTGTGTGTGTGCGTGTGTGCGTGTGTGCGAATGCATCTTCACAAGCCAGGAAGGCAGGGAAGCCCCACATACCGGCTGGACGGTCGAGGAAAAAGCCATCCGGGCACCCGGCACATAGTTGACCAGGCAGGGCGAAGGGCGACTCCGTGCGGTCCAGAGCGCAAGTCCACCCAACTGGTGACCCGGTCACCACCCCGTCGGCATCGCAGATGATGCTCGGATCGGTGTGGCAGCCGAAGGCCTCCGAGTCGAAGAGGGCCACATGGTGCCTGACAAGCGTCCAGGCCCCGGGCCCGGAGGCCGTGGTTTTCAACCGAAGCAGCTGCAAATCGCTGAACAACGACACACCGGAGAGAAGGACACGACGCCAGGTGATGCCGGTGAGAGGGGCGACGTCGGCGCGCCACAGCGCGCCATTCGAGTCCAGGTAATGCAGGAAGGGGAATGCCTCGGTCATGGCCGGGGCCGGGGGGGTGATGAAGTCCCCGTCGGCCGTGGCGCCGGCCGGCAAATCGGCCACCAGCATGCTCTCCTGGAAGCCCGGGTCGGGATGGCAGGGGAGGATCATCACCCTGTGCGAGTCCAAGAGCAGGACCACATCGGCCGCGGACGGGCAGACCGTTTCCCGGGAGAGGATCCGCGAAACGGCCATCCGGCGCACCGATGCCGAAATGCTGAGATCGAATTGGGCGACGTGATTGCCCCCAACTAGCAGGTGGAAAAGCCGGTGCTCGCTGGCCAGATAGAAGGCTCGACCGATGCCAGGGCTAACATGTGGCCGGCTCGGCAGTTCCGGAAGTGAGTGGCTCAATCCCGTCAGGCCGCCCGCGGAAAGCGTCGCCATATAGACGCGCCACGGGCCGTTCAATGGTTGGTATATGCCCAGGAGATCCGCGCTCACGGTGGATACTCCGACACCGGCCAGGAGCTCGGTCGATGGCCCGGGCAGGGCATAGTCAAAATCGCCGGCAAAGAGCCCCACCCACCGGTCGGTATGCTCAATGAAGGCCATCTCCCCGCTGTTGTCAACCACCGGCAGGTGCATGATCGGCTTCGGGGAGGGCGGTGCGCTTCGGAGCCGAGTCACGCGCGAGGTGAAGTCGGTCGGCATGAAGCTCCCCCACCGGACCTCGGGCACGGCGTCCAGGGCGTCCTGCTGCTGGAACAAGAGGAGGAGGTTGTCCATCGAGCGCGAGCTACCGATCGAGGGCCTGCCCGGGGCCGTGTGATAGACAAGCGTCTCGGAGGATATGGGGCTTCTGGCCGCATGAAGGTGGACAGCCGGTGCTGACCGGGCCACCGGCGCGCTGATCACCGCCAGCAACAGAGGGAGCAGCGCCAGCAGCGGCAGCGGCCACGGCAGCGCCGGGCCCGGGGGCCGCCCGGTCGCCAGGGGGCCGGCACCAGCGGCGGCACACGGGCCGAACATGAGGAATGCCTCCGGAGAGGGGGGGGGGGGGGGGGG